GGTATTAGATGGGAACATTCATTGGTGTAGTTGTCTAGTTTTAAATCTTGGTAGACAGGGAAAGTAGAGTAGTCGTGAGGTGGGGAGAGTGGGGGAAGTAGAGGATTGGTGAGGTGGGGAGAGTGGGGGATGTAGAGTATTCGTGAGGTGGGGAGAGTGGGGGAAGTAGAGTATTCGTGAGGTGGGGAGAGTGGGGGAAGTAGAGTATTCGTGAGGTGGGGAGAGTGGGGGTGTACGTGTGACCATTAATCAGCCTTAGTGTTGGTTTATTTTGTATGGCCTTACAAGAGTGACCAGTGGTCAGCTGATCTGTCGGAGTCAGGAGGATTAGTTCACATGATGGTCAAGTTCACATGATGGTCAAGTTCACATGATGGTCAAGTTCACATGATGGTCAAGTTCACATGATGGTCAAGTTGACATGGTGGTCAAGGTCACATGATGGTCAAGTTCACATGATGGTCAAGGCCACATGATGGTCAAGTTCACATGGTGGTCAAGTTCACAAGATGGTCAAGTTCACATGATGGTCAAGTTCACATGATGGTCAAGTTGACATGATGGTCAAGTTGACATGATGGTCAAGGTCACATGATGGTCAAGTTGACATGATGGTCAAGGCCACATGATGGTCAAGTTCTCATGATGGTCAGAGAAATGTCTAGAGAAAGAGATGTGCATAAATAAATGTGTACATTGACAAATGATTCAATGGACAAATGTGGTCAGGGACAAATATGTACAGGGACAAATGGGGACACACATCTGGCCGTTTCCCACACACTGTACCCACACACACCCGGCCTCTCCCGCACACTCTACCCATACACCCACCGGCCATTGCCGACCTCAACCCACACACATCCGGCCTATAGAATCCACCCAATATATCCTAGACCTGGGCTGGTTTATTTTTCCGGCATGTGTATTTGCCTATGTAGATTCTTGTGTTGATAGTTCGGATATCATTGAAAGGCAGACAATTTAAAAAAAAAAACAACAACTAGAACTAATTAACTTCCACGGCTGATTAATGCAATGATAACATTTAATGAATCAGTGTTTATAGCGATTAAATTGTAATAAATCAAGACGATCTATAAAGAGGGTTATTTATCAAATATGTTTTTACCGTGTGCTAGTGATAGCCTATGTTGTCGTCTGGTGGGTTTGCTTAGAAAAGGTGTGTGGCTTGTGTGGGCTTGTGTGGGCTTGTGTGGGATTGTGTGGGCTTGTGTGGGCTTGTGTGGGATTGTGTGGGCTTGTGTGGGCTTGTGTGGGCTTGTGTGGGCTTGTGTGGGATTGTGTGGGCTTGTGTGGGCTTGTGTGGGCTTGTGTGGACTTGTGTGGGCTTGTGTGGGCTTGTGTGGGCTTGTGTGGGCTTGTTGTCTAGGCTTGAAGTATGGGCTTGCTTGTGGGCTTGTTGTGTGGGCTTGTTGTGTGGGCCTGCTGTGTTGGGCTTGTTGTGTGGGCTTCTTGTGTGAGCTTCTTGTGTGGGCTTGTTGCGTGGGCTTGTTGTGTGGGCTTCTTGTGTGAGCTTCTTGTGTGGGCTTGTTGCGTGGGCTTGTTGTGTGGGCTTGTTGTGTGGGCTTGTTGTGTGGTCTTGTTGTGTGGGCCTGTTGAGTGGGCTTGTATTGTGGGCCTGCTGTGTTGGGTTTACTGTGTGAGCCTGTTGTGTTGGCCTGCTGTGTGGGCTTGTTGTGTGGGCCTGCTGTGTGGGTTGTGTGTGGTCTTACTGTGTGATCTACAACACTAGCTAGGCAGTAAACATTGACCAAACAGCGATGTAGCCAGACCTCCCGTCCGACCCCGACACCCATATTGCATTTTTATGATTTTTCTGATTGAATTCAGAATAGCGGGCAGCTCTCCCCTCCCCCTGCCCCCACCCCAGCCACATGTGTATATTAAGATCTACAAACCCAGCAGACGATACGACCGGAAATAATTGGACGACCGTCCCGACATCAACGCCAGACGGGGCGACCTCAGCGGCCATGCGCACACGATGCTCTCTCGGAGGTTCGCGCGAGTTATTGCCGTCATCAACACGGCGGCAGCGGCCGGTGATCATCACGTGACCAGAGCGGCCATTAGACAAGGACCAGGGGAAGTGACGCCGTCTGAAAAGAATAAAACAATAGCCAGGAAATTGAAAACGAAAATCTCCTGTTGACCATTCATCGCGAGTAGACGCCCTAGGTTCACCCCCTCCCCCCCCCCCCCTCCCTACTTCAGTCTTATTCACAATGAAGTGTTTGTTTACTTGAGAAAAGTAACACATTCGGTTCCACCAATCCAAGGTGTGTTTACTTTTATTTATTTTTTAACATTGCCGCTATAAGTGGTGTTTGTTTCGCCATTTTCACACCTGTACCTGTGGTAAAGGTAGTGTCCCATCTTTACCCCCCCCCCCCTCACCATATCACGTCCACGCTACAGTCAATTTGACGTCTCACTTTCCCGCACTGTGACTGTCTTAACGTACACGATACAGTAACTTAGCTCACTTACATCGACTGCCTGAACATATACGATATAGTCACTTAACTCACTTACATCGACTGTCTGAACATATACGATATAGTCACTTAACTCACTTACATCGACTGTCTGAACATATACGATATAGTCACTTAACTCACTTACATCGACTGTCTTAACATACACGATATAGTCACTTAGCTCACTTACATCGACTGTCTTAACGTACACGATACAGTCACTTAGCTCACTTACATCGACTGTCTTAACGTTCACGATATAGTCACTTAGCTCACTTACATCGACTGTCTTAACGTTCACGATATAGTCACTTAGCTCACTTACATCGACTGTCTTAACATACACGATATCTCTATTGACGACTTGGCTTCATTAAATCCAGTTTTAAAAATTACTTTTTAAATGCAATATTGTCACATCACAAATTTCTAGACCCTCACTTCATCACAAAGTCTCGAAATCACCCCCCCCCCCCCACACACACCCACCCACACATAGGGGTGAGGCTCAGTTAAGGACGGCCCCTAACAATTTTATTAAAAACCTCAAAGGAACTGAAGTTGAAATACTCAAACAATAAAATTCGGTGTTGGTGAAGCGAAACTGTACGCACGTGTAAACCAAGTAGAGTCCACTGACGGCCCTGACGGCCCATGCTCCATCTGTGTCAATGACCACGAAGTACCAGGGGGGTAGGGTAGTCAGCGCTGTACCCAGCCGCCTTTACTTTCCTTCACGTGACTCACGTGCCTATCAGAGCTGGGAGGGGGGGGGGAACCCATACATGTCGTACAGACTTGAACCCTGGATCCGAACTCGAGACTTTCGTGTTACTGTGTTAGCAGTCAAAAGCTCTACCATTTGACCACACTGTCCGTTTCAACATAGGCGATGGATTATTTCATTTTCGTTAACTTTTTTTAACTATCGTCTGACAAACGCAGACGACACTCACTGGCGAGCTGTCACTTACCTGGTCACGTGCTCTGTGAACTAATTTCAAGTCGGTGTAAACAATTCTTGTACGGACGTATTGGATTACTTGTTGGTACTTGATGCATTCTGTGTCACTGCCTGTTCAATTGTTACTAGTGTGATCACTTGTTACATATCGTGTACCGCCATGTTCAATTCCTTGTTGATACTTGTAAAAACTTGTGCCGGGTCACCTCATTGGCCAGCACACTTGGCCTTAAATGTTGTAGACCACAATTTAAAGACACGATTCTTTTATGTGCGAATGAAAGGGTAAAAATACTTTAAAAAAACTTTTTAAAAAACCACGTTTTTCTTGTGGACTAAAAAGTAGAAAATAAATTTTTCTTTTGTGCTTCCTCGAGCTGTGCAGATTCTTGTGATGACTGACAAAAAACGTGGGTACGTTCACCATCAAATTTCCCGACCCATCTGCCCGACCCACGTTTTTTGTCAGACATCACAAGAATCTGCACAGCTCGAGGAAGCACAAAAGAAAAATTTATTTTCTACTTTTTAGTCCACGAGAAAAACGTGGTTTTTTAAAAAGTTTTTTTTAAGTATTTTATTTTCTCCTTTTTAGTCCGTTGCTACACATGAAAAACGTAGTTTTTAAAAAAGTTTTTTATATAGTTTATTTTCTACTTTATCTAATGACTTGATTAAGTATGACTTGACCAAGTGTTTATAAATACACCGACTAAAAATCTTAAGCGACCAGGATTCGAACCTGGGTTGTCGCGGCCACAACGCGAAGTACTAACCACTATACGATCACGGCCAGCGCGCTCACATCGATTGGGGCCGAAGTAACTGTGTCAATAGGCCTCCAGTCTTGTCGGTATCTTTAGAAATCATGTCCTAAATTTTATGGTCCTTGGGGCGTAATTAAATTAAGCTAATTACGGTCTCTAATTGCTAGTTTTTATGATTGCATCTGAAATTGTTAGGCGAAAGTAGCTTGCATGCCAAATTTCAGATCTGTAGAGCAATCAGAAGTGGGTTAATTTTAACAACAAACAAATCCACAAACGCGAAGCTGAGTTAAGAAAAACGTGTTAAAAAGTGACATACAGCACGAAGCTTTTTAATTTAGAGAACAAAACGCTGTAGGGAACTATTGACTGTAGGAAATTATTACATTTTGGAAACTATTGGAGGAAGGAAACTATTGGAAGTGAGGAACTATTGGGTGTGGAATCTAGTGGGTGTAGGGAACTATTGCATGTAAGAAACTATTGTATTTAGGGAACTATTGGATGCGGGGAACTATTGATTAAGGGAAGTATTGGATGTAGGGAACTATTGGCTACAGGAACTATTGGATAAAGAGCACTAGGCATATAGAAATGTTGCGAATAAAGCTATTTGTAGATTGAAAGGAACTTTCCCTAAACGCTAGTTGTGAGTAGCAGGAGAATCATTCAATCATTCACGCATCACGTGTAATGATTACGTCATTTCCACCTTTCATGTCCAACAAAATCTCGAAACCAATTTCGTGCCGGAAATGATGCAAACAGATGGCCTTGACAGTCTCGGATCTGTAATGGCTTCCACATTAATAACAAAATCACAAAAATAAATCCACGACCTCTCCACAAGGAAACAACATTAGAACAGGTGTTTTGAACACGCGAACTGACATTTAAACTTGTGTTTAATACAGGTAAACAGGTGCTTACCTTGTTGGTCTATAAACTTTTCCATAATGGATGCGAGTAAAGTAGTAAGGGATTAAGTTTATTATTTATTTAAGACACTACTTTTGTAAGTCTTGAATAGAATCTGGAATATTAACTTCACCATAAGGTAGTATAATAAATGCAGGCTAAACACTTACCTTGTAGGTCTATTAGCTTTATCACAATAGATACTATTTAATGACTAACTTTATATATCTAGAACTATAAACATTACAATAATTGTAATAGATGCTAGCTAGTGCGTCAGTTTGTAGGTCTATAAATTTTATCATAATTAAAGTTAATAGATGCTAGATATGGAGTAATGACAAACAGATTGTGATGAGAACGTTAGAACGTTGAAGTAAAACGTGAAGCGCAAGGAAACTCAACCATTAGAAGATCTACGTCAAAGAGAACCTGATAATTCTTTTAAAATGTAGTATCTCGGTTTTCTCTAAGACTCCTTGATACAATTATTTTGTTCATAGCTACACAATACCCGTTTTTTAAGCATAAAGAATCGTTGATGCCAACCCTTGCTTTATAATCTAGGTGTGATGCACCAAACCACGCGCTAACTTTTTTTTTAATTCCACATTTTTTAACTGAACAATTTTTATCTAATTAGCAAGTAATTGATAATTATTTTTTTAAAAATTCACTACAATATTAAACTATTGTTTCAGAAAACTGCAAAAATGATGCACAATAAGAAAGAGAGTCTGGACGTCGCTGTCCTTCGGGAGAAAATCCGCATCAAAAGTAAGACAGTGTTTGTGTCCCTTGGATAGCAGGAATTTATTCGGTTATGTCCCCTGGTACATCATCTTAGAAACTAGTATCTGTTAATGAGAGGGGTATTTCAGTGATCTATGGATGGTCTTTGATGGCAAGCCAAGTTATGGTAGTGGTTGGAATGATGGTGAATATTATAGTGGTAATTGTAGATGTGGTATTGGGAATTGTACTGGGTGATGTAGATATGGTGGTGGTTGTGGTAGTGGAAATTGTACTGGGTGATGTAGATATTGTGGTGGTTGTGGTAGTGGAAATTGTACTGGGTGATGTAGATATTGTGGTGGTTGTGGTAGTGGAAATTGTACTGGGTGATGTAGATATTGTGGTGATTGTGGTAGTGGGTGATGTAGATATTGTGGTGGTTGTGGTAGTGAAAATTATACCTGGTGATGTAGATATTGTGGTGGTTGTGGTGGTAAAAATTGTACTGGGTGATGTAGATTTTGTGGTGGTTGTGGTAGAGGCGTAGAGTTAGTAGGGTCAGAAAGTTTGGCCGCCTAGAGTGACCTCATTAGTCGCCGCTGCCACCTTTAGCCCGTGAGTCGCCCCCAGGTACTGACTAAAAACGTAAGGTCGGTAATTTGACCTTCTGTTCGGGAATTCCCATCCTCTCGGCCTCCCCTCCCCCTCCCGTACACATCAGTGATATTAAAAGTACCTCATAATCCTAGACAAGGTCGAGGCGTGTAGGTTTTGTGTCCAGTACAATGTTTGTCAGATACATGTGTGTACATGTACACCAATTGTTTTCCTGTACATTTGTGTACATGTACAATGTTTGTCCTGTACTTGTGTACATATACACCAGCGTTTGTTCTGTACATGTATGTACATGTACACCAATGTTTGTCCTTTCTTGTACACCAATGTTTGTCCTGTACATGTGGCTACATCTACACCACCAATGTTTGTACATGTACACCAATGTCTATCCCCAGAGATCGACAGAAAAGTGTACATGGACGAGATGGAGAGATTGTTGAACGGCAACAGGGAGAAGAGAAACGCCCTGCGCATCGGCAACGATTGTCTGCGCTTCATGACACGGCGACAAAACAACGTACGTCTGTCATGCTTCATGTGTCACTTGTTGGATGTGTACGTCTGTCATACTTCATGTGTCACTTGTTGGGTGTCTCTGTCATGCTTCATCTATCGTTTGTTGGATGACTCTGTCGTACATCTATATTTGTTAGATGTATACGTCTGTCATACTTTAAGACTTGCCTGATGGATGTGTCCAGTACATCTTGCCGTACGTCATACGTGCCCCGCCCACCGTCGTACGGCAATGTCTCCTAGCCAGGTTTTTGCCGCGGTGCGCGATGAATCGAATACAGAAAATTAATTAGGATTAAGAAGGATTAGTTCAGGGTTCATTCAGATGAAGATACCCGTCTCAAACATGATGTGGAAGTTGAAATGTTTCCATCAACTCTGTCTTCGTGATTGGCCTACACTCTGAACTCATTATTGGCCTAATTAATCACAAGGCAACAAGTTGCGCCAGGGAAAAGGACAACTTGATTTGACAAGTTTATACCAGCAACAAAAATTGACGGACACTACACGGGACATATATCCAAGAACAATAATCGATGGTTGGAATATTTTATTTTTCCGAATTTAAACGCCGGGTTTTCTGGCTATAATTTCACACCAGAAACCTGTGTATTGTGATAGTTCATTTAAGCCTAAGCTGTTAAATGAGCAGGTGAAGCAGAGTCTGTGTGTTGTGTCTCAGCATGTATGACATTAGCTATGACTTTAATTATGACATTAACTATGACTTTGATTCAGACATTAGCTATGACCTTGATTATGACCTTGATCTGTTTCTGACCAACAGATGACCATAGCCATCAACACGAAAATCTTTGAAAGTCGCCCCAACAGCGAGAAACTGCCAATGATGAAATGTGATTTAGCGGTAAGATTATTTCAATGATTATATGTGATTTAGCGGTAGATTAATTGAATGATTATATGTGATTTACTGGTGAAATTATTTTAATGAGGCACACAATCAACACTGTTGTAGCAAACAGCAGTGCTATGGTAACATACAGCACTGGTGGTGTAGCATATAGAATTACCCTAGCAAACAGCACTGCTGTTGTAGCAAACAGTATTGCTATTTGTAGCATACAGTGCTGTTGTTGTAGCATACAGCACTGATGCTGTAGCATACAGCACTGCTGCTGTATCATACAATGCTGCTGCAGCATACAGCACTGCTGGTGTAGCATACATGACAAGGTTGTCGTGGTGTTGCAGACATCAATCGTGAAGAACGACGGCCGTCTGTTCAAGTACGGCAAGCGGCTGATGAAGCAGGACTACAAGCGGGAACAGCGGGAGTACAAGAAGCAGTTCCAGCAGGAGGAACTTAAGAGGGCCATCCAGGAGAAAGTCTGTACCGAGAAGGAGTTCAACGCCGATTGCGAGGTAACGCCTCAATCATCTGCCTGTTGTTTTTTGTTTAAAGTTTTTTTTTGTCCTTTTCACTAAAACTTACTTTAACCAAGTGGACCAGCCGTGTTTTACCACGTTTTATTCCTAGTTCTTTGAGCAGCCACCAATGTATTCCACCGAGCATCCACCAATGTAATCCACCATGACCCTCCACTAATGTAATCCACCATGACCCTCCACTAATGTAATCCACTGTTCCTCCACCAATGTAATCCACCAAAGTTTCCACCAATGTAATCCACCAAAGTTTCCACCAATGTAATCCACCAAAGTTTCCACCAATGTAATCCACCAAAGTTTCCACCAATATAATCCACCAAAAGTTCCACCAACGTAATCCACCAAAATTTCCACCCCCAGTCCTACCTGAGCCAACAAGTTCGTGTCGAGGACAACAAAAGTCGCGAGATCACGGCCAAGCTGGTCTACAAAGATCTGCAGAAGATCCTCGCTGCCCTCGATCAGGTGGGGCATAGGGCAGATTACTGCACGTACATTTTAGGTGGGGGAGGGGGGCATAGGGCAGATCACTACACGTGCATTTTAGTTCGGGGGGGGGGGGCATAGGGCAGATCATTACACGTATATTTCTGGAATGAGGGGCATAGGGCAGATCACTACACGTACATTTTAGGTGGGGGAGGGGGGCATAGGGCAGATCACTACACGTACATTTTAGGGATGGGGGCATAGGGCAGATCACTACTTGAATATTTTAGGTGGGGCATAGGGCAGATCATTACACGCACATTTTAGGTTGGGGGCATAGGGCAGATCATTACACGTACATGTTAGCTGTGGGGGCATAGGGCAGATCACTGCACGTACATTTTAGGGATGGGGGGCATAGGGCAGATCACTACACGTATATTTTAGGGATGGGGGCATAGGGCAGATCACTACACGTATATTTTAGGGAAGGGGGGGCATAGGGCAGATCACTACACGTACATTTTAGGTGGGGGGTCGTAGGGCAGATCGCTACATGTACATACGAAGGGGGGGGGGATGGGTCAAATGACAGACCACAAGACGTACATTCCAGTTACACAACAGACAAACCTGTTTAACAGATCCATAGCACAACCACGTGACACTTAATGCACTGTGTGTCAGATCACATCAGACGTCATAGTTCAACAATTAAGATTTCTGGGTAAAAAATGATTTTCTGATTCCAGAACTTGATGGAGTATCCCTTTCGAATCAAGGAAATTGAGGATAAAATTGTCGAGAGGAAGAAGGAGGTCAGCGACTTCCAGGAACTAAAGGCCGGGGCTCAGAGATTTCTCGACATCGAGGAGGTCAGTTTCGTGTCAAAATGCTCATTAGCTTAATTAGTGCAATCTTTTTAATCCTAAAAAATGAACATAATATAATGAATAGAAAAAATAGAATATGCCCATAATACACAATAAGCCGACTACACCATGGTTTTTATTTCCATCTTAGTTGGCCTTAAGGGTTGGCCCCAGCCCCACACAGTTGGCCCTGTTGGCCTTAAGGGTTGGCCCCAAACAGTTGGCCCAAGCCCACACAGTTGGCCCCAGTCTCACACAGTTGGCCCTGTTGGCCTTAAGGGTTGGCCCCACACAGTTGGTCCTAGTCCCACACAGTTGGCCCCAGCCCCACACAGTTGGCCCTGTTGGCCTTAAGGGTTGGCCCCACACAGTTGGTCCTAGCCCCACACAGTTGGCCCCAGCCCCACACAGTTGGCCCTGTTGGCCTTAAGGGTTGGCCCCACACAGTTGGTCCTAGCCCCACACAGTTGGCCCCAGCCCCACACAGTTGGCCCCAGCCCCACACAGTTGGCCCCAGTCCCACACAGTTGGCCCCAGTCCCACACAGTTGGCCCTAGTCCCACACAGTTGGCCCCACACAGTTGGCCCCAGTCCCACACAGTTGGCCCCAGCCCCCCACACAGTTGGCCCCAGTCCCACACAGTTGGCCCCAGTCCCACACAGTTGGCCCCAGTCCCACACAGTTGGCCCTAGTCCCACACAGTTGGCCCCACACAGTTGGCCCCAGTCCCACACAGTTGGCCCCACAGAGTTGGCCCCAGTCCCACACAGTTGGCCCCACACAGTTGGCCCCAGTCCCACACAGTTGGCCCAGTCCCACACAGTTGGCCCTAGTCCCACACAGTTGGCCCCACACAGTTGGCCCCAGTCCCACACAGTTGGCCCCAGTCCCACACAGTTGGCCCCAGTCCCACACAGTTGGCCCCAGTCCCACACAGTTGGCCCCACACAGTTGGCCCCAGTCCCACACAGTTGGCCCCACACAGTTGGCCCCAGTCCCACACAGTTGGCCCCACACAGTTGGCCCCAGTCCCACACAGTTGGCCCAGTCCCACACAGTTGGCCCTAGTCCCACACAGTTGGCCCCACACAGTTGGCCCCAGTCCCACACAGTTGGCCCCACACAGTTGGCCCCAGTCCCACACAGTTGGCCCCACACAGTTGGCCCCAGTCCCACACAGTTGGCCCCACACAGTTGGCCCCAGTCCCACACAGTTGGCCCCACACAGTTGGCCCCAGTCCCACACAGTTGGCCCAGTCCCACACAGTTGGCCCTAGTCCCACACAGTTGGCCCCACACAGTTGGCCCCACACAGTTGGCCCCAGTCCCACACAGTTGGCCCTAGTCCCACACAGTTGGCCCCACACAGTTGGCCCCAGTCCCACACAGTTGGCCCCAGTCCCACACAGTTGGCCCCACACAGTTGGCCCCAGTCCCACACAGTTGGCCCCACACAGTTGGCCCCAGTCCCACACAGTTGGCCCCAGCCCCACACAGTTGGCCCCAGCCCCCCACACAGTTGGCCCCAGTCCCACACAGTTGGCCCCAGTCCCACACAGTTGGCCCCAGTCCCACACAGTTGGCCCCACACAGTTGGCCCCAGTCCCACACAGTTGGCCCAGTCCCACACAGTTGGCCCTAGTCCCACACAGTTGGCCCCACACAGTTGGCCCCAGTCCCACACAGTTGGCCCCAGCCCCACACAGTTGGCCCCAGCCCCCCACACAGTTGGCCCCAGTCCCACACAGTTGGCCCCACACAGTTGGCCCCAGTCCCACACAGTTGGCCCCAGTCCCACACAGTTGGCCCCACACAGTTGGCCCCAGCCCCACACAGTTGACCCCCAGCCTCCTCCGTCACTTCACCCGTGACATCTGCACGAGCTAAACAACTTTATAACAGCCACCATATGACCTCAAGGCCAGTTGAGTAAGGTCTGACCTAATGACCTCTATCACCATCCTAATTGACCGAGTCACCATTTAGCCTGTCGAAATGTTTGCTTTTATCTAGACACAGATGGGACTCTTGAGCTGACATAGACCCCTGACCATGTCACCATTTAACATCACGACCCCTGTGTTACCATTTAACCTTACGACCATTGGTCACCTACTAACCTGTCACCATAATCCCATAACCCCTATCGTCACCATAACCTCATGACCCCTGTGTCACCATAACCTCCCTGTGTCACCATAAACCCCATAACCCCTATTGTCACCATAACCCCATGACCACTGTGTCACCATAACCTCCCTGTGTCACCCCATGACCCCTGTTTTTGTCCAGACCCAGCTAGGACCCCTGAACGAAGAGCTGAAGATCGTCAACGCCCACTTCGAGAAGGTGATCGCAGTCAAGAAACAAGAGCTGGACGACAGGAGGAAGAACAACTCTCTGGGCAAGTTTCTCGCGGAGAGGGTAAGTTTCTGGGAGACAGGAGGAAGAACAACTCTCTGGGCAAGTTTCTCGCAGAGAGGGTAAGTTTCTGGTAGAGAGGGTAAGTTTCTGGGAGACAGGAGGAAGAACAACTCTCTGGGCAAGTTTCTCGCGGAGAGGGTAAGTTTCTGGTAGAGAGGGTAAGTTTCTGGGAGACAGGAGGAAGAACAACTCTCTGGGCAAGTTTCTCGCGGAGAGGGTAAGTTTCTGGTAGAGAGGGTAAGTTTCTGGGAGACAGGAGGAAGAACAACTCTCTGGGCAAGTTTCTCGCAGAGAGGGTAAGTTTCTGGACGACAGGAGGAAGAACAACTCTCTGGGCAAGTTTCTCGCAGAGAGGGTAAGTTTCTGGGAGACAGGAGGAAGAACAACTCTCTGGGCAAGTTTCTGGCAGAGAGGGTAAGTTTCTGGGAGACAGGAGGAAGAACAACTCTCTGGGCAAGTTTCTGGCAGAGAGGGTAAGTTTATCCCAGAGAGGGTAAGTTTCTAGCAGAGAGGGTAAGTTTCTCCCAGAGAGGGTAAGTTTCTCCCAGAGAGGGTAAGTTTCTCCCAGAGAGGGTAACTTTCTCCCAGAGAGGGTAAGTTTGTCCCAGAGAGGGTAAGTTTCTCCCAGAGAGGGTAAGTTTCTCGCAGAGAGGGTAAGTTTCTGACAGAGAGGGTAAGTTTCTCGCAGAGAGGGTAAGTTTCTCCCAGAGATGGTAAGTTTCTCCCAGAGAGGGTAAGTTTCTAGCCGAGAGGGTTAATTTTATCGTGGAGAGGGTAAGTTTCTAGCAGAGAGGGTAAGTTTCTCGCAGAGAGGGTACGTTTCTAGCAGAGAGGTAAGTTTCTAGCAGAGAGGGTAAGTTTCTCGCGGAGAGGGTAAGTTTCTAGCCGAGAGGGTAAGTTTCTGGTAGAGAAGGCAAGTTTCTAGCAGAGAGGTAAGTTTCTAGCAGAGAGGGTAAGTTTCTAGCAGAGAGGGTAAGTTTCTAGCAGAGAGGGTAAGTTTCTCGCGGAGAGGGTAAGTTTCTAGCAGAGAGGGTAAGTTTCTAGCCGAGAGGGTAAGTTTCTGGTAGAGAAGGCAAGTTTCTAGCAGAGAGGTAAGTTTCTAGCAGAGAGGGTAAGTTTCTAGCAGAGAGGGTAAGTTTCTAGCAGAGAGGGTAAGTTTCTGGGAGAGAGGGTAAGTTTTTAATAGGGAGGGCAAGGGAAAGCAAAAATAAAGATAAAGAGAAAACAAGGCTTACATGAACGGAGAGAGAGAGAGAGAGTAAAAGAGAGAGAGAGAGAGAGAGAGAAAGAGAGAGAGAGAGATATCGAGCTATTCATGCACACACCAGCTCCAATTGTTCCAATATTTTCACAGGAATCCCACGGTTTCAATTTCACAGGAAGTTCAAGTAAGTTGATTTTAAATAAAGCGCACAAATAAAAACATCATCTAGTTGTGTCTCACAAGCCTGATTGTGTATAGATTGGGTTAGCTAGAGCTCATGGGGTTCTTAGAAACGGTTAGCTAGCCAGTGGTGGATATACAGACTTGGGTGTGTTGATGTGTAGAACGTGTTAGCTAGATAAGATGGATAAAAGGTTAGCTAGGGATAGGGTGGATACGTGTGTAAAAGGTTAGCAAGTAATAGGGTGAATGTCGTGTTGGTGCTGTATCCATTTCAAATCTTTAAATTTCTTTGTTAGAGTATCTGGTGATTTAAGTTATTGATCCAGTAGTTAGATCTAACTGCTCACTGTCCCATACCTATTCTACTCACGATTTCTTGGATCTAACTGTTCCATGCCTGATGTACTCACCATTTGTTTGATCTAACTGTTCCATGCCTGATGTACTCACCATTGATCTAACTGTCCCATGCCTGATGTACTCACCATTTGTTTGATCTAACTGTTCCATGCCTGATGTACTCACCATTGATCTAACTGTTCCATGCCTGTTGTACTCACCATTGATCTAACTGTCCCATGCCTGATGTACTCACCATTGATCTAACTGCCCCATGCCTGATGTACTCACCATTCGTTGGCTCTAACTGTCCCATGCCTGTTCTCACCATTGATCTAACTGTCCCATGCCTGTACTCACCATTTCTTGGCTCTAACTGTCCCATGTTTGTACTCACCATTAATCTAACTGTCCCATGTTTGTACTCACCATTCGTTGGCTCTAACTGTCCCATGTTTGTACTCCCCATTGATCTAACTATCCCATGCCTGATGTACTCACCATTGAACTAACTGCCCCATGCCTGTACTCACCATTGATCTAACTGTCCCATGCCTGTACTCACCATTGATCTAACTGTCCCATGCCTGTACTCACCATGTGTTGGATCTAACTGCCCCATGCCTGTACTCACCATTGATCTAACTGTCCCATGCCTGTACTCACCATTGATCTAACTGTCCCATGCCTGTACTCACCATTGATCTAACTGTCCCATGCCTGTACTCACCATTGATCTAACTATCCCATGCCTGATGTACTCATCATTTGTTGGCTCTAACTGTCCCATGCCTGATGTACTCACCATTGATCTAACTATCCCATGCCTGATGTACTCATCATTTGTTGGCTCTAACTGTTCCATGCCTGATGTACTCACCATTTGTTTGATCTAACTGTCCCATGCCTAATGTACTCACCATTGATCTAACTATCCCATGCCTGATGTACTCATCATTTGTTGGCTCTAACTGTCCCATGCCTGATGTACTCACCATTGATCTAACTATCCCATGCCTGATGTACTCATCATTTGTTGGCTCTAACTGTTCCATGCCTGATGTACTCACCATTTGTTTGATCTAACTGTCCCATGCCTAATGTACTCACCATTGATCTAACTGTCCCATGCCTGATGTACTCACCATGGATCTAACTGTCCCGTGCCTGTACTCACCATGTCCGTTCTGCACGTGCTTGCAGACATCACTGAGATGAAGATCAAGGCCAGAAACAAGGCTCTGGTCAACGCCCAGGACATGTTGCTACAGCTGATGGACGCCATGTTGGTGTCCGACATTCAGGTCAGTGGCGTTGTCATGGCAACAACAGTAGGGTCGGCGAGGAATGACCAGAGACGCTGAGTTAAAACTGGGGACAAATCGTGTCATGTTTTTAAACAGCCAGACGATGGAGTCAGTTTTAAAGTATAGAAAACTTTTCTCTTTACCGCATCACAATACAAACTCCGCTATACAAGTATGGTAGAAGCCGCCATGTAAAGACAATAGCAATTATACCAATAATATTTTGATGTTAGTAGTACTACTTAAGAACATAGCTAATGATTTAATTAGCATTATCTGCTTAAACAAAGACTTCCTCAATGACAAATAAAAATTCATAAATTTGATTAATTCGACACATTTGAATATCTGTCTATTCATTAGGTCGGTTCAACAATTTAGAGATACAGCTAATGTAATTAGCGCGCGACATTAGCATATTGACGCGACAGTGTGTGTACTTTTGTTTTTGTAATGGTATTTTAATGGGGGCATGTCTTGTACGTTCTGAGAGGACCTCATGTTTCTGTTTTTGGTGGTCTGTGTCCTACATGTGAAATGGTGTGTCCTACCTTTCAGTTTGTTGTGGACTGTATCCTTGACCAAGCTGACGTCACACGTCTACTGAGGAACGAGAAAGAGGAGAAAGTGAAAGAGAACGCCGAGTTGAAGGCGGACCTTGCCAGACTGACCAGAAACAACAATATGCTCAAGTACAATGACCTCAAGCAGGCCAGGTGAGACTGAGGGGGGGGGGGGGGTGAGTGATTCGGTGACGTGTGGCTATGCTTGGTTGACCACAGACGTAAACGCGTCGAGTACACAGGTTGCTGCATTATTTACGTCAAGAGCTCAACCGTCACCAGGATATCTTGAGGGAAGTTTTATTAGCATTTACAGAAACTTAACCGGATTTTTTAGCATGCCCAGAAACCTCAGCCCAAACTCACAAAGTTAACAAGGTGTAACACCAGCTAGCTTTAGTAAACCACAGTTCGCCTTAACAAACCTTGGCCGACTTGAGATTACTGTAGCTAGCTAACCCTAGCTGGCGCAGCTATTGCCATGGCTAACACCTCTACTCTACACCTCTACCTAACCGCATGTAAGCACGTGATTACATTACACACACGTGCAACTAGACATGAAGTTTGGTCTGTAGTGAACGCTGTTCCTCAGATAGCTGTGAATAGCTCAATATGTGTTTGAATGTTTGGATGTATTCATCAAACTAAATTTAGCCAGCCTTAACCCTCACCTCTACCCCCATATCCCCCCCTCCCCCAGGGTGAGAGAACAGCTGGGTGAAGCCAGGCGAGCTGAGAAAGAACAGAGAGACCGCTTCGAACAACTAGACGTCTGTTTACGGAATCAAGACCGGTTACTCTCCGAGATCTCAGTCTCACTCCATGCCATGTTTGAGAGGTTGCGTCCCATCAAGGTGTCCGACGTAAGTCGCCTTTCTTCACTTTGCGCGCTACGCTAAAACCCCTAGAAACACCCGTTTGGCGGGTGGTCGTTTTTTAACTGTTTTTTTTTAAACTTGTGGTAATCAATTGCTTTTTTTCCTTTCATGTCCAATGTGTTCGTTTTTTGTTGATTGTAATCGTATGCGACATTTAATTGGTTTCTGTGTTTTTGTTAACCTTGTCGCCTGTAATTAGTTGACCTGTAATTAGTTGACCTGTAATTAGTTGACCTGTAATTAGTTGACCTGTAATTAGTTGGCCTGTAATTAGTTGACCTGTAATTGACCTGTAATTAGTTGTCCTGTAATTAGTTGACCTGTAATTAGTTGACCTGTAATTAGTTGGTCGGTAATCGCGCTGTACCGTCCCCCAGGAGTCCAACTTTTACAAGGGCATTTTGTTGGAAGACATCCAGAACTTTGTGGTCAAGCTGCAGAAGATGATGAACATCGTGGAGCAGAGGACGGTGCCAGTAGGCAGGGTCAAGCCCCTGATGGTCAGTCTCGTCATGTCTGTCCACACTTTCTGTCATTGTGATGCTCTCTCGTATGTCCCCTCCCCTCCCCCACCCACCACAAGAACACCCACACTTTTCGATATGTTGGACAATAAGACCACCATTTCAAGCATTGTCTGAATTCATGTTGATGGTAGAACACTAGACAGGCGAATTATTAAGACCTACCTTTTGACATACACTACATGGGAGACAAGTCACTTCTATAGCTTAAGCTTTCTGACCAATGCTAGGTGTACTCTACTCTCTAATTTCACGTGCGCATGAAACCTGACGTCACCATGTTCGCCTCCGTCCCCAGCTGCGCATGTTCAAAGAGAAGCGCATCCCCCAGGACTCCATCCGGGTGGAGATGCAGCACTCCCTGATAGCCGGCCAGATGACAGCGTTTGAGGCCTTCGAGTCGGACCAGCCAGGGTTCACATCCAGAGAGATGCTGAAAGCGAGGGCCGAGGAGATCGCCGCCAAGAACAAGAAGATCAAGGCACCCTGAGCCCCGTGTGGGGGTCGGGTGGTGTCTGCTGGTCGTGTGGTGTGTGGTGTCCGCTGGTCGTGTGGTGTCTGCTGGTCGTGTGGTGTGTGGTGTCTGCTGGTTGTGTGTGGTGTGGTGTGTTGTTGTTGTGTGTAGTTGTCGTATATCGATGTGGTTGTATGTTAGCTCTGTATACCTGGCTGTGGTGTGCGTTAATGGTGTGTTTTAGTCGTGTGGTTGTCTGTGGCTGTCTGATTCTATAGTTGTGTGACCGTCTAGCTGTCTGGCGGTGTGGCGGTGTGGCTGTAAGCGTGTGGTATGCCTGAACTTGTGTCCTGAAAGCTTGTCCTCACAAGAAGTTGCTGTACTTCTCTGCTTGCCTCTGAGAGCGTGAAGGGTGGGGAGTTGATGACCACCTCACAGCAGTGGGTGGGTGATGTGAAACAACCACGGTTTAAGGTCTGGGCTAAAACTTGTATGCAGCAATTATACACGCTGAGAGATTTTCTAATTAATGGCAGAACTTTTCTTAAGACTGTCAAATTTTGTTGATCACGTGTCAATAGGGCACAAAGCGAAATCAATGTTTATTTCAATAATGAATTATTTATTTACCTTCTTGTTACCTAACATTTAACGATGTAGTAAATAGGTAAGTCTTTTTTTTAAATTATACTTTCATCAAATTTGTATATTTATATCTATATGTTTACTCAAATTTTAAAGCCTACTCGATAATGTTTACCTATTTAGAAATGATTGTTGATTTATATGATGTTAATGTATTTGACTAAGGCTGACACACCGATGCTGTCATTTGTAGGTTATCAGAAATGTTTCAAATTGTGGGTTTGTAGGTCGCCATTCTAGAGGAGGGGGCGGGTGACAGGTCATCCGGCTAACCTGTGACCTTCACCCTGCTGACCGCAATGGTGCCATTATAACATCCCACTACACATGCAACACGAAAATATCGACTCTTGGTGTCACGTTGTGATGTCACACGGCAGTTGTGTCACGTTGTGATGTCACACTGCAGTTGTGTCACGCTGTGATGTCATCAAGACGTGTGTACTGTACACTTTCCATAATTTGTTGACACAATAACATACACTCACGCACACACACACACTCACGCACACACACACATACTCACACACACTCACACACATACTCACACACACTCACACACACACACACGTTCATATACGCACAAGTACAAAGGCGCTCACACTCGCGATTACTCGCACATGAGCACACAGACACGTGAACACACAAACTCACATCTACTTTAGATTTAAGTCATGTGTCTGTGTGTATTCCTGTTCTAATGATGTACAATTAAAGAAAGAAATCATTTGCAACAGGCGACAGTGTAACTTGGTGTTGTTATTTGTTTTATACATGAGCCAAATTATGCTGCGACAATCTATACATAAACTAAATAATGCTGTTTCTAATTCTATACATGGGCCCAATTATGATGCGTCCATCTATACATGGTCCAAATTATGCTGGGTCCATCTATACATGGGCCAAATTATGCTGGGTCCATCTATACATGAGCCAAATTAGGATGGGTCCAATTTGTACAGCCTACAATGGCTTTGGACTTAAACCACAGAGTAAAATGTTTGGAGAAAGAATTAAAAAAAAAATTCTTATAAATACGATCGTGTAGTTTTCATGCGTGATCCCTCACCATTCTCCCACGGTGGAGATGGATACAAGTGTTGGTGTCAGGTGAAATCGTGGATCTGCGTCTATACACAGGAGAAATGGACAACATTATAGGCCAGTATCTATACATAGGAGAAATTGGAGATATCATAGACCGGTGTCTATAAACAGGAAAAGTGGGATACCTGTCCAGGCACCATTTAGCGATATAGGCTAAGTACTTAACCACTTCGTTGCCAAATCGACGCAAAGGAAAAATTCATTTAGACTACAATTGTTTTACATAGATTCATCTTCTCGATTCTTTACTTCGACTATTTTTTTCACACGGAATATATTCGATCCTTCATTAAAGAAAGACGGGATCGATTCCTCTTTGAACAGAAATAAGTTTGAGATTATTGCATGAGAGTAGAGCCTTCATAAAAACCTAACGCGATATCGCTCACATTTTTTTGTCCAGATTTTATGTTTGGCTGATCAAACTGTTTGTGCTGGTTTAATCTCGTTCGTTCCCGTTTGGAATATTCATTAGCATAATTAATTCATAGTCCAGCAAACATGGACGCCACGAGATTAACGGAGGAGAAGCGAGATTGATTTCATCCTCAGCTAGAAACAAAAAGTTGACACAAAAACGTGTTCGACGACAAAAAAGACGAGATAGAAGTTGTCGTCCTTTGAGCTGGAGCTCTAGAAAATACAGAGATTCTTCCTGGTTTTTTTTTTGGCTTTTCTTTACTGCTGAATGATAACCACATGATACAACTCTGAGGTAGCTACAAGATGCAAACACTGAGGTAGCCAGATTGTAACTACATGGAGGAAGCCACAATATAAAAACACTCAGGTAGCCAGATTGTAACTACATGGAGGTAGCCACTTCTACAAGCACTGACAACCCACAAATAGCTGTATGAACGAAGCAACATACTAGACGTCAATAATTACAACATACACGTGGCTGTTAGTTAGGTTTAAGCTCAATAGTTAATTAATTAACCGTGTGGTTTTAAAAGAAGTGCCACAATTATTTTACCATTCGTATGTATATTGTGTTGGATGTTTCCTACATTGTGTGAGGTTACTTATACCATGTTTCTGATATGCCACCCATCAAGCATTCAATCCTTTAAATCACCTACCAACCATCCAGCTTCCAATCAACTTAATAACGTGCAAGTTTGGTTGTATAAAAATATATACTAGATATATAAAAAGACATAATTATTTTGTGATATGTTAAGTGTAGGAAATTATAGGAACTAAAACATCTCCAAACAAGTCTGGATGTTCATATTTGTATGTGACATACAAACAGTAAGCTCAAAACAGTTAGAGGGGAAAATACTATTAGCCAGAACAAACTGTCTCGCGTGTGGCCAAAACGGTAGGCCAGACAAGACAAAATCTGGCCAGAGTTGTATCTGGAATTTTAGGCGTCCTTTGGTGTGAGGTGGGAATGGGGGTTTGTGTCGTAACTGGTCTAGAATGGTAGGGTTAGCTAAGACTCTGGGGGTGGGGGCACGCAAATAGTAGCTGGTCTGATGGCGTGTTACGTTACTCGGGCCTACAACTCCCCGTCCTCGTCTCGATGTTTCTATTTATAGTCCAGGCACGGATTCGACTATGTTCCTTAAACTTTGACTACGGCTAATTAAGTAGCCCATTGTCGCCCTACATGCCCATTTATAGTCCAATTGAAATCTAAATATGGAAATACAACTTTCAAATATATCGATTTTAAGACAAGTGAAAATATTGAACTTCTGCTCACACTTTGAAATCTTCAAATAAATACGTATAGAGTGATTCGATCAATACGTTATTTTAATATCTACGTAGAACTTTTTACTACGAGCGAAATAAAACTTGCCTTAAAAATTAATATTTTAAAAGTACTTAAAGAGTATAAAATTATTCGTGTTGTTAAAAGCAAGTACGTTCTCCAATAACAATATAAAGTTTGCAATAATGATCATGAAATAAAATATATCTAAAAACCCACTCAAAACAATTAGCTTTTGAATGTACTGAAATAAAGAAAACAAAACACTATTGTTTTCTTTATTACAAAATTGGTCGCTCTTGCGATTAGTTACATTGTTTAGCGTCAAAAGCTTTTATTAACGAAAGCAAGTTAGTTTTATTTTCTTATTTTCGTTTTATTTTCGAATGTTTGTTTAATTTTCCTATTTATATTCCCTCTTTCAAAATAAAACTGACACTACATTGCCTACCTATTACTATTAACGAGCCGACGTATCATATGCCGCTATTTAGTTGTTTTATTTTCTTCTTTTCAGTAATTCATAATTTGTGAACTCGACAGTACCAATGCTGCCACTGAAAATATTTGCTTTAAAACACTCTCAGTAGGTCGTTAAGGACGATACTACACCCCCACCCTCCTTTCCCCCAACCCCTACTCCCCCCCCCCCCCCCCCCCCGTGAAAGCAGCCTTCACTTAGTTACCTCCCCTAAGTTTAAAATCGTTTCTAACTAAAAAATCTGCCCCTAATAGCCGTCACTAAACCCGGCTCTACGATAGTAAACATTTAGTGTGAACCACAGCTCACTAGACCACGTGGGGGTGGGGGTGGTAGGGATTTTACTAGAGAAGAAGAGAGGGGGCTGCAAGGCGCGCTTACAGCTGGGTGTTTTCTATGGTCTCCATGAAGAGAATCTTATATACAGATTACATGACGAAGTATTCGCGTTAAGTTCGAAGCGTTGCTTGCAATCTCTAAAAGACAATTATCTGCCCCTTCTTAGACCACGATTGAAGCTCAGACGATAAAGAAATCACTCAGCCGTGAAAAAAAAACAGTTGACCCTCTACGGATTGCTAGTATTTAATCTTGTGATTTCCCCTTTCTATTATTGAATTAAGTAATTGTTAAATAAGTTTTAATGACCAGCTTATTGTGTAATTAGATTAAAAATTAGATGTTCTTGCATTGTCAACAGAGACGAATGCATCTAGAAAGTTTGAACGGAATCTCTGCATTAAAATTGATTTTCAAACTTTGACAAATAAGTAAACAAAATCTAGATATTGTAAACTAAATAGTAGCATATAATTATACACATTCATTCATCAAATCAGTCTTCATGCTCTAGAGTCAGCAGTCTCGTAAATCAAGTAACTGGCTGTATAGATCTAGTTCTGATTTACATTTAGACTTAATGTAATCAGGAGAAGTAACTGCGACAGATCCACCTCAAGGTTTAGTCTCGGGTAAAGTTGAAGCGAAAACTGAATGCAACAAATCCCATCCAAACATTTTTAAATCAAGAAATATTATCCAATTCTCAAACGGCGAGCAGAAAAAAAAATTAAAGCCAAACTTCAAAAAATTAAAGCAGCCTTCAATTTAATTAAAAACTTTAATCTGATAATTGCAGTTCTAATTTAAAAACAAAAGAGCGAAAAGAAAACCGGCTATTTCATATCGATACTTCCGGCGATGAAAGGACATGCGCAACACAGCACAAAACAGGATCTGTCACGTGGTGACGAGTCATTCAGTGCATTCAATCCCATGGTTCCCGACTTCTTTTTATCGTCTGCACAGTTCTCTCAGAGTTTGATATTGATCAGGTCGGTGCTTTGTGGGACCAGTCAAAGTCTGAATAGGTAAAAGATCATCTCAGGGGTGGCCATTGGTCACGTGTAAGATGTAAGCATAATTCACATTTTTGTAGGGTGTATGCATAATTCACATTTTTGTAGGGTGTAAGCATAATTCACATTTTTGTAGGGTGTAAGCATAATTCACATTTTTGTAGGGTGTAAGCATATCACATTTTTGTAGGGTGTAAGCATAATTCACATTTCTTGTAAGATGTAAGCATAATTCATATTTTTGTAGGGTGTAAGCATAATTCACATTTTTGTAGGGTGTAAGCATAATTCACATTTTTGTAGGGTGTATGCATAATTCACATTTTTGTAGGGTGTAAGCATAATTCACATTTCTTGTAAGATGTAAGCATAATTCATATTTTTGTAGGGTGTAAGCATAATTTACATTTCTTGTAGAGTGTAAGCATAATTCATATTTTTGTAGGATGTAAGCATAATTTACATTTCTTGTAGAGTGTAAGCATAATTCATATTTTTGTAGGATGTAAGCATAATTTACATTTCTTGTAGAGTGTAAGCATAATTCACATTTTTGTAGGGTGTAAGCATAATACATGTTTCTATTAAGATGTAAGCATAATTCACATTTCTTGTACGATGGAAGCAAAATTCAGGCTTAATTTTGCCAGGCTTTAAATTACTTTTCCTTTTCTTTGCTGCTAAATTTGTGTTTAATTGTACATGTTACACTATGTTTTAATGTTTGTTTTGTATTTGTTCTGGCTGTGTAATAACTTAATTTCGCAGAGATGTGTTTGTATCTATTTGAAATAAAACATTCTATACGATTTGTGTGTCAGAACTCTCCGTGTGACCCCCACAAAACTCGCCAATTCGCACCAGATTTCCGTGTCAGAACTCTGTGTGCGACCCCCACAAAACTCGCCAATTCGCCCCAGATTGTCAGAACTCTCCGTGCGACCCCCACAAAACTCGCCAATTCGCCCCAGATTTTTCGTGTCAGAACGCCCTGTGTGCGCCTGCTGGGGGCGACAGTTGCACCAGAGAAAACGAACAAATGAACCGCCAGAGGGCGCCCATCTGAAGACAACCGCCCGTGTCCCCCCTGACAGATGACGCTCTTGTTCCTGCCCTCCTCCAGAACATTTTTTGTCACAAGAGTTTTCCCCCTTTCCGTCAATTTAATTTTAATTAATTATTTCCGAACGATTTTTTATGTGTGTAGCTTCTTGGCTATCGAATGCATAATTTTGTCATCTTGTAAGGGGCCATCATTCACCGCACGACGTTCTAGTTCCGGTTCAATGAACACTCAATGAGTTTGATGAAATTTTATCAGTTCCATTTTTTTTACTCGGAGATTTTGTTTTTATTCACCGTTTTATTTTGATTTTTCTTATGACATTTCAAGAGATTGAGTTTGAGCGGTCTATAAACGGATGTTCCATTCAAGATGTTTGGGAGATTTTTATTTTAAACATCCGGTTTATTTTAGATTAATTTTATCCAAACTGACGATGGGTCCAAATAGACTTCAGATAAGTTTGTAAATCATTGAACCATGTTTTTTACCGTTTGTAAAATATGCTAGATTTAAAAAAATCTATTGAATTTTGACGATAACAGTTTTGTTTTATTGAACTTCTTTTTATATATCCAGACACTGTGATAATGGCTTCATATCAGCCCAGTGGCTCAGGATCAGCAGCAACGCCTGCTGATGAATTTACTGTCAGGATACCCAGGGACACCAGAAGAAAGTTTACTATGATGAAATTTGGAACAGGTTCCTCTGTAGATTTTTCTAAACTTGGAGATCAACCAGTGAAGATTGAAAGAGAAAATAACTTGAAGGAATATAAAACAGCCAATGACCTAGATATGCTGCCTAAGTTTGGTGCAGGCAGTGAGTATGGCAGAGATCAGAAAGAAGAATCACGAAGAAAAAAATATGGCATCATGTTAAAAAAATATAACCCTGATGATCAACCCTGGCTTCTTAAAATTGGTGGTGGAAAGCAGACAAAAAGGTTTAAAGGTGTTCGTGAAGGTACAATTACAGAAAACACTTCTTACTACATCTTCACCAAAGCATCTGATGGAGCATTTGAAGCTTTTCCAGTTAAAGAATGGTATAATTTTACACCAATGGTTAGGTACAAGTATTTGAATTCTGAAGAGGCTGAGGAAGAATACAGCAGAAGAGATAAGACTTTGAACTACTTTAGTATTATGGTAAAGAAGAGAATAAAAAAAGAAGAGGATCATGTTGATGAAGATGAAGATGGGAAGAAAGGGGGTAAAAAATCTAAGAAAAAAGATAAGGACCTTATTTTAACTGATAAGGATGATTGGGATGATATGGAGATGTCCGATGATGATGAGGATGAAAAGGAAGGTGATGAAGATGGTAATAAAGTAAAGAAAAAACAACATAAAGGAGCCAAAAAAGCTGTGAAAAACTCAAAGAAAAATTCAGATGATGAAGCGGTCGAAGAAAGTGATGAAGGTGATTTTGATGACAGAGAGGTTGATTATATGTCAGACTCTGGAAGCTCTAGCAGTTTATCTGGTCAAGAAGAAGATGCAAAGGAAAAGAAATATGATGAAAAGGGTGTGGATCAGGAAGCTGGTTTGAGGAATATTCTTGACTCTGATGCAGAAGAAGAAGAGGAGGAGGAGAAGGAGAAAGAGGAAATTGAAGAGGAAATTGAGGACAAAGAAGAAAAAAAAGAAGAGAAAAAGAAAGGGGATGATGACAGTAGCAGCTCCAGCTCAGAAGATGACTCAGATATTGAAAAGGATGCCAAATTGGCTTCAGCAATATTTTTGCAAGGTGGTAAAAAAGAGAAAAAGGAGAAAAAAGAAAAGGCAGACACAGCAGCAACAGATACGAATCAGGCGGTTAATCGTACACCAACACCGGACAAATTGAAGGAGAAAGCCATGAAAAGAAAAGCTGAAGCAGTGGATGGAAAGGCTCATATTTCTAAGAAACATAAAGTAGAGGACAGCGAAGGCATTTCAGAGGATGCAATTAGGAGGTACCTCATGCGAAAGCCTATGACCACAAAAGATCTTCTGCAGAAATTTAAATCTAAAAAGCTGAATATGACAAATGAAAAGATTACCCATGTTATAGCCCAGCTGTTGAAAAAAATCAACCCAGACAGGATGACCATAAACAAAAAACTTTACCTCTCCTTAAAAAAGCCTGAGTAAACTTTGTTTACATACTATCTTGTTTTTAGCTAAGTAACAATGACTGATTAGCTGCATTTGTTTTTAACCTGTCTAGCATGAATGCTTGTGTTTGTAATACTTAATTTAAGCATCAGCTGTAAATATATGAACTGTACAGACATTTTGTTCATGACAATAAATAATCAAATACAAGTCATTTTGTAACATAAAAAAAAAAAAAAAAAAAAAAAAAAATTTAGTTTATATATATATATATATATATATATATATATATATATATATATATATATATATATATATATATATATATATATATATATATATAAAGATGTTTTTCTAAGATAAAAGTCCAATGAATAAGAGAACGGTTAAATTAGAGATATTTGAACTATATATTTTAGTCATTCAAACCTCCATCTGTCATAGTAAACCCAGAGTTCACATATCGGATGGGTGGATCAGTTTCTCAGTGGGACAGGGGGCTGGGCTAGTCTACTGGGCTAGTATGGTTTTAATCAGTTTATTGTCTTCGCTGTTCTTTCAGCCACCAGCTAAACGAGCTCTATAAAGAAAGCTCAGGGGTTGTAATGTAAGGGATAATACAGTAGAGGTGTTTTAGACACCATGCCACCCCTCTCATTCACACACCTACTCAATGTAATCAAATCTATTAGGTCAGATCATGGGTGTCCCATTCAATAGGTGATCAAATGATGAGTGTCCCATTCAATAACGATCAAATGACGAGTATCCCAGTGAATAAAATAATCACACTTTACACATATGTCTAATTAAAATAAACTGTCACCAGAAAGTAACTATTTTATACTAGTGGCAACATACTAGAATCAGTATCGTACCAGAGTCATTAATATATTAGCGTCAGTATTGTAACAGAGTCAGTCATGTATTAGCGTCAGTATTGTCACAGAGTCAGTCAAGTATTAGCGTCAGTATTATCACAGAGTCATGTATTGTAACTAAGTGAAGTTTCTACTAGAACGAGTATGGCACGCAAGCTATAGTTCCAATACAAGAGTCAGAATCTCGCAGACTCGGCGTCAGGCTGCCAATAGTTGTGACGCTGACTCACCATCAGACTTCCATCTAATCATGACGCAGACGGAGTCAGCCTGCCAATACAAACCAAGCCGTCTAGATTAGACGCGAGACCGAGATGGGCAGGGGACACAACTCGGGGTATGGCCGGATTAAGGCGGATTATCCCGAGCACGCTTGTATCGCTAGACAAGAGGAGATAAGCGGGTGAAACCACGAAATTAATGTCTAAAGCACGGCTGTCATGCAAATTACCTACTCTTTGTTGGAAACACCAGGGCATCGCACCACTCCCCCCCCCCCCACCCCACAAAACGTTTCTCTACCACAGTTTCTCCTTATTTAGCAAAAACAACCCGCTAGTTTTTAAAATACCCCCCCCCCCCCCCATGTATTAACTGGTATGGCAACTGTCTGGGGGTTGGGTGGGGGGGGGGGGGGTGGCGGCGGACAGATGACCCGATCGTGAGTTCTTTTCATCATTTCTATTGGATTGTGTTTTTAAAAATCACATGACTGATGAAAAATACCGTAACACGGTTAAAACAAGGAGTGCCCATAACTAAACTTTAGACATGGGAGTGTATTATTTACACGCATCAAAACATAGGAAGTTCATTATGTACACGCATCAGCCTTAAGGATGACGTAAGCGTTAGTGACACTGCCAATGTTGAAATGAAATCTATTTTTAGGCGGAGCTACCATACTATGCGTGAGTACGTCTAATCGACAACTTCTTATTCCCTTTGTAGTCTGTGTAGAGGTTAGGTCAAAGGTCAGATGAACTTAGGTGCCTCTGGTGTCGTTTTGACCTTTAATTGCAGGACTGTGTAATCAATCCAATCTAAAAATAGATCTCATCCTTTGAACTTTAACCTTTTGGTTGACCCTGCTAACACATCATGCACGTTTGTGAGATCTCCACCACAATATCCACATACACAACGCTCACATACACAACGGTCACATACACAACGGTCACAAACACAACGGTCACATACACAACGCTCACATACACTACGGTCACATACACAACGGTCACACACAACGATACCCGCAACTTTGAGGCACAGGTTCAAACCCTAGTGAGGCCTTTAGCTTAAAAAATAAAAATATATTTCAATATTTTTTCATAAAAATATGTTTTTTATGTATCAATTTCAACATGTTTTAAAATAGTCGAATACAATCACGATATGTCGTGTTGTAAGACATACATGCAATGTTGTAAGACAACAATTTACTGTTGTAATAGCTGCATCTAATGTTGTGATGTTGTGGCCAGCAGCCATAAATAGAAATCACGCACTAAACACGTATTAAAATGTAACTTGAATGAACATTTGTGCTGTAATATCTGGCCATTATTTCAAGCTGAGGACAGCTCGCCATATGTGCCACACCTTATAAAGAAGAGGGTGGGGTAGGGTTTTTTTTTGCTGGGGGTAAGGGTTGGGGGGGGGGGGAGGGCCTGTAGACATCGAGGTTTCCGAACACGCAGCACATAAAAGTAAATTGTGATTGGGCGACGGAAGGGAGACTAGTACGGGCATCACGTGGGTTGGGGTGACATTGGAATGTCTGACCGGAGTGTGGGGGGGGGTGTGGGGGGGGAGGGGAGGGAGGGGAGCTAAAGACATTGTGTAGAGTGTTGTATTTGTGTGTAGGGGTGTAGTTGGTTGTATGGGAGGTGGGGGATTTATTGAGTGGGTGGCAATGAGGTGTGTGTGTGTGGTACAGTGTGTGTGGTACAGTGTGTGTGGTACAGTGTGTGTGGTACAGTGTGTGTGGTACAGTGTGTGTGGTACAGTGTGTGTGTGTGTGGTACAGTGTGTGTGTGTGGTACAGTGTGTGTGTGTGTGTGTGTGTGGTTAAAACCAGCCCCGTGTAAAGCGATGTGAGAGAACTGAGTTCTTATTGTATTCACCAGCACCGACCCCGTCAATTTTCTTGACGGCAGGTGTCGACGTCCTTCAGTCTAAGCCTTTATACATTTGACTTGTCGCAACCCGCAGCATGCCAGACAACCCCATCGTTTGGCTTGTCGCAACCCGCGGCATGCCAGACAACCCCATCGTTTGATTGTCGCAACCCGTCGCACGTAGTCAACCCCAGTAGCAGGTCGCCTCACATGAATCTCTGGGTTCTGTGTCCCCACGAAAGTGTTGTCTATATGACCAGTCGATTGTATTTCACTTTATTGGAGCCAATTTGATCTGGCCACCACATTCGACATTTTCAGCAGTATAAAAATGATTCGCAACCTGACGCCTTGTCTTATGTCTAATGGTGGTATGGAGTGCAGAACACTTCATCAAATAATTTAACATCATTTAATGAGGCATAAAAGGCGCCGTTATCTTTTTACAATCTATATCTTGGGTCATTATATCGGAGAATGTGTGGGCGTGGGGGGGGGGGGGGCAGGTTTGTGAACTCAATGTTCACATTTTCTAGTGGAGCAATTTCTGTCATAGATTACCATAGTCAATGAGAAATGAGTAGATTTTGTATCAATCCTCTGTCCACGACACAGATAGAAGATAACGGTGTCTTCCTTGATCGTAAGTCACTGATTGGGTTAGCAAAATTGTAAGTTTCAGCGTCGTGTTCACGGGATGATACAAAAATGACTTGCATCAAACGAGTGTCAACCAAAATGTGTTAAAAGTTTCATGAAAGTAGCCACTTTGCGAACACATACTTATGAAAATAGTTTTATTGTCAGAACATTTACAACCTTGGTTTTCCCTAAAAACAGGGTGTACGCATGTTTTAGCGACAAAATCTGTTGTGCTAATTCGGTGTTGAGGTAGTTAGAGGTAAGGGATATATTTTTCTTTAGAACATTTTTTTTATTGTAGCCTTAAAGCACACAGCTGACCGTGAGGTCATGGCTGCCTTTAAAGGGAGTTGAACCCTGGAATTCCACGCTACGAGACTGACGCCCTACCTCTTGACCACGAATATTTCGCCAACTTTAAAAAGGCTGGTAGTTGTCTTTTTTTCTAAAGAATCGTGTACCTAAAGAGAATCTAAACATCGTCGATAACTAGTTGTGTAACTGCTACATTCTAATGTATTAAAACGAACATTGAGTGAGAAGCAACAGACTCCCACACTCCCACACCAACACCCCACTCCCTCACCAAACCCCCCACACCAAACCTCCACACCGAACCCCCACACTCCCACGCGAAACCCACACTCCCTCAACAAACCCCCACACCACCCCCACTCCCTCACTAAACCCCCACACCAAACCCCCTCACCTAACCCCCTCACCAAACCCCCACACCAAACCCCCACACCAAATCCCCACACGAAACCCCCCACACGAACCCCCCCCCCCACACAAAATCCCCCACCAAACCCCCACAATATCCCAAGACCCGGCTCTTACACAAGAGACTTGCATCAAGTCAGGGGAGACAACCTTTCAATTTTAAAACCAACCAAGGGCGGTAAAAAGTGAGAGTCCGCCGGCCTGTCCCTACAGTACGTAGTTTATTCGTGGGAGCGATAAATCTTGGGCTAAAGAATGGCACCGGATGTAATCCTTTTAGTCCTGCTACTGTTGAGAGTCACCGTCGGGGGTGCTACTGTAGATGTATCGGGGGGGGGGGGGGTACATGATGTAAGATTGGGGGTCGGGGGAAAGTATTTCATGATAGGGTTAATCAAGGGAGAGGGGGGAGGGAAGTGTTGTAATGTTGCTAAAGTCACGTGATTTAAACCTACTGGGAAAGGTTGTTTTTTTGTAACCATCGATCAACTGACATTCGGTGTTGTCGTGGTGATTCGTGTAGCCTGTCGTCCAGCATTCTTATCTGTCGTCCAACACACGTCATCCAGCACTATTATCTGTCATCGAACAAACTGATTTTAAAACACGGACCTGCCAACCAACAAATTATCTACTAGCCATATGATGATCTTTCGCTACACAAAGCATTGAAAGGACAGTAGACTACGGCACAGCTACCATCCTGCACAGCTACCATCTGACAGCTACCATCCAACACAGCTACCATCTGACACAGCTACCATCCGACACAGCTACCATCCAACACAGCTACCATCCAACACAGCTACCATCTGACACAGCTACCATCCAACACAGCTACCAT